ATATATATATATATATATATATATATATATATATATATATATATATATATATATATATATATATATATATATATATATATATATATATATATATATATATATATACAGAAGAAGAATTCAAATAAAGTCTAACACAATTACAAAATCTATGAAAAACTAATCCTCCTTGTTGCCACCACCCTCTGACTTAAGCAAAACTGCACAGAGAAGAGAACCTCATAATATTACACTTGCCAAACATCTCCAAACTCCCATCAAAGTTGACATCTCTCTCATCAATTTACCACATAACAAAGTTTGCTCTAAATATTGAGACAAAAAGCCCAATGAAACTTTGAGGAGGCTGAAGGTCAAGGGTTTCTTAACTTACATACATATTGTAAATCTTTAAACAAATTACTGTACAGAAATCTGAAGTGATGCATACACAAGTTTCCAGATTTATTCTTCATAACTTATACAAATACTGTATCCTGATACAATCTGAACCAGCCCAAACATCAGGTGAATCAGTCAGTTTGGTCAGCAACTTGTTCCTAATGAAAAAGCTGTGTACCCTATACAGTATTGTATTTACATGATAAATTGTATTGAAAGAGATGTTCTTCCTGGAAACTGGGTCAGTAACAAAATACATGCACAAAATAAATATTCAACATTTAACATAAAAAATATCAGACTCAGAACACCTTTATCATAAGTAGTTACTGCAGGGTTCGTGACATGAAAGGATAATACAGTACTGTACTTAACTGACAGACTCTGCTAATTATCATCATCTAGCAATGACAGGAAAATATTGGAATCTGGCACAAGAATCTTGGCCTAATACTGTAGCTTATAATAATCAAGTTAAAAATATTGCATAAGAAAATCACTCATCCCCCACCTTCTACCACAGTCCAGTATCTAAACCCATGTATTGGTCATTTGGCTGATGTTAAAACCCCCCTTTTTTTTTCTTTTTCTTGCCTTATGGCCTTTGCTCAAGTCTTATCTTAGTTGTACAGTTGCCTTCATTTATACCTGCTACAGTGGCTGGCATATTTAGTGAGATGTAACAACTCTGTGTTTGTTCGCACCTTATTAAAACTCCCAGAATGGCCCCCAGAAAACTCACAATAGTAGCCAGATTAAAGAAGCCAGATGAGCATTCCACAAAGGTGCCACATCTCACAAAATACCCCAGCCACTGTACCAGGTTTAAGTGCAGGCGACTGTACATCCATTAAATCTAAGAACTATGATCAATCTATATGTTTGTCAGCTTAAGTTTATCTGTGTTACCTAAAATCATTTCGGCCATCTACAAAATTAGATTCATTCTTGTTTGATTTGTCCTCTTGTTCAGCCAACCATCTCAAACATGACAAACAACACACGGGAACTTATAAACCAAGAAACAAAGTAGCAACCAAACTAATGATCCCCCAACATTCTCAGGCAAACAACAGCACAAAATCAACCAAAAAAATCATCAAATGTACAGTTACAAGAAAAAAGTTAAAAACATAAGAACATAAGGAGTCTGCAATAGGCCGGTTGGCCTGTGCATGGCAGCTCCTATCGAGAGTTACTGCCACTCTCTATCATCCATGAATCTATCTAGCCTCCTTTTGAAACTTTCCAGAGTTCCCGCACTTACTACAAAGTTGCTAAGCTTGTTCCACTCGTCCACCACCCTATTTGTGAACCAGTTTCTTCCTATCTCCCTCCTAAACCTAAACTTATCCAACTTGAATCCGTTGCTCCGAGTCCTATCCTGCTCGGATATTATAAGAACTTTATATATATCCCCTTTATTGATTCCTTTCACCCACTTAAATACTTCTATCATATCTCCCCGCACTCTTCATCTTTCTAGGGAATGCAAGTTAAGTTTCTCTAGCCCATCCTGATATGGAAGGTTTTTTTTTTTTTTTGACATTACTGGCTTTATGGACAATATTGTGAGCTTTTCCAGAGACTTCTGTTTTGTCCACCACCAAGGACATGTCCGTTTAGCTGCTGGAGACACCTCACTTAACAAATGCTGTTACTAATCAGGTAAAAATATGTAAGATGAGTCATTCACCTGTTTAGCTGTTTTGCGAGTGAGTTTTCGTTTGAAGGGCCTAAGCTGGTGAGTTTTTGGACTATAATTTATTAAATGGACTGAGCCAAAATAAAGTAAACACAGTTAAGATAATTTATCCAACTTCTTAGCTGTTTTGTCGGTACCAGACTAACATGTGGCGTCAATGTTTGTAAACAAATGCAGCTCCAGCAGACCAACCATGCGAGTAAGATGACCTATAATCCATCAATGACGGGAAAAGGCCAACCAACACTACCCTCGACAGCCACAGACGAAGGAGAAGGGATTGTGGAGGGGTTAAAATTACCTCTTGAAAGAACAACTTATACTTGCAGGATCTTCACTGGAAGGGGGAAGATTTGTTCAAAGTATGGGGCTAAATCTTCCATACCTTATTCCCTTCAAGACTATAGAGGTGGGGACCCATAACGTATTTCCCTAAACACATCAGCTAGTAACCAACATCATAACCAACATCATAAAGTGTGTTTTAAACCTGAGACATCTGTTGAAGGGTTCTACATATTCATAGTAAACAAACTAAAACACATTAATATTTGCTACACTTATCTTACTTACATATTTTCTTTAACTTCTTACTAACATATTCTACTTATCTTCCTTGGCAGTTTTCAGCTTTTTAGCTGTTTGGAGTCCTGATAGACATTCACTTACATCAAGTGGAAGGCTGGATGTGAAAGAATGAAAGTGAATGTTTTTCCTCTGAGTGATGCCTCATTCTTGGGCCACATTCACACTACAGTACAGTACTGATCTCTCTAACTTTCTATAACTCTCACAGAGACCATGATAATACAGTCTGTTTGCATCATAAGAGAACAATCCCTATCAGTAGGAAGACTCTCTCCCATGTAGTCTGTAATTCTATGGTAATACTAAATCAAGGATATTAAGTGAGATATATCTTACTGTACAGTCACAGATGAAGTCCTGTCAGTTCTCCAACCTAACACTCATAAACCAGTGCATCACAGACATCACATATTGTTAGGCCCACTGGGTTATGTGTTGTCTCAGATCCAGAGGGTTCATGGATAGGACAAAAGACTGTCAGGACTTTTCCATGATTGTACATTTACCAAACTCAATTCATAAAGCAATTTTCAACAAATGCTGAGTTATTATTAACCAGGACAGTTTCCTAAGAATTAATGACTCAACTTCTTAATGAGACTAAACATAATAGAACCTATTTGTAAAAGTTGCCAAAAGAAAATAAAACAAAAAAATCCTATACAAAACAACTTACTCTGAACAGGTAAGAACATTCAGCCATTAACACCCTCACAAGGACACCATCAACTGACCTCACACTGAAAACAACAACAACACCAGAACAAACACAACAAACCTCCTAATTCCCTGACTAAAAGAGCTAAACTAACTTAATTCACAGGATCAGAGAGAATCAAATTGAATGATTAATAATCTTCTTTGGCATAAAATCACAAAGTAACATATAGCATTTTTTTTTTCTTTTTTAGGCATTTCCTTTTTGGCACACTAAGATCATGTGGATACTGTGTATAGATAATACCATACAAAAAGGTTAAAGGTCAAATGGGAACACACTGCCAATAGGCCCCCAACTTAACCATTAGAACTGAAACCCAGGAGGACTGTGTTGTCTATTAAACCTAGACCATAATCCTAAGAGTTATGCTGCACTGAGACTCACTTGACCAATCACCTATAAACAGAACCACTCCACAGTGACAGAGTGGGGGGAAGGGGGGGGCCACCATAATAAGTACATAGTGTATAGGAACACCTTAAAATCTGTCTGGGTTAAATTCTTTCATCTACAACATCATTATCTCAGTTCCAACTTCTTTCATCTGGAATCACATTACTTTAGTTTCAATATAATTCCACCCTAAGTTGTTGTTTTTTCCCAAATCCTTCACTGTACACATTTCTCTCCTTACATTATTAGTCTCTATCCAGCTATCATATACTTCACAAACAAACACACCCCCCCCCCCTCAAAAAAAAACACAAAAACAAACAGGGACATTATAACATGACTATGGAAAAGCTGAACTGTCTTTCATACATTATCCAAGGCAAAAGTTGAATTCTTCTCCCAAATCAATAACTGATCACTGTGTACAAAAACATTACTAACCAGTGACAGTGTGGAGTAAATGTCTTATTCAGCGTGGGCCAAATACTTGCTGGAGCACACTGCTTTGAACCTAGATAACATACTCAATGGCATTCACATAAATAAAATTCGTATTCAGGTCAATGCATATAACAGATCTCCCTTAAGCTAATCTATCTATCTACACTTTTACAGAAGAGTTATTGGCTCCACAAGCTTCAAAGGTGGTTATAAAATGTGCCTCACTCTTTATTATCATCAAGAATCATTTTTACATCAGATATATTTGTTGGCAATACTTAATAGGCTAATGACTACAGACTCAACACACCTTAACCCCTTCCTTGCTGCATGACTGAGCTGGGAAGTTCATCTATGAGATTAACTGTAATAATTGCTGCTTCTTTTTTTGTCCGTCTTGTATCCCCTCTTATGTTCTATTACACATTGGCCAAAACAAAACACAAGGAGACTTTAAGTTACTGTTATCCACTTCCTCTTAGAGCTGTAACATAAACTGCTCATTGTGGGGCTCTCCTAGCATTCATGTATCCCACTGCTTCCTCTTGCTCCTAATCCTTCCTTCCTCCCTGGTCAGCACCCTTACCCTTCAACACACTTCCTCCAACACAACATAGCCAACTGACCTCCCTCACCCTTCAACACACTTCCTCCAACACAACATAGCCAACTGACCTCCCTCACCCTTCAACACACTTCCTCCAACACAACATAGCCAACTGACCTCCCTCACCCTTCAACACACTTCCTCCAACACAACATAGCCAACTGACCTCCCTCACCCTTCAACACACTTCCTCCAACACAACATAGCCAACTGACCTCCCTCACCCTTCAACACACTTCCCCTCTCTCCAACAATCATGTACACTGAACGTACCAAACCAACTAATATATTATAAAAACATCTGTGGTGACTTAAAGCAGCATCACCGGATCTACTTAAGGAACTAATACTGAACCGTCACCATGAATGATAATTACATTCTGTGCCCTGACATCTGACAATGGAACACACCTGAACAATGAGAGAGTGGTCAACTTAAGAAAATAAACATGTCACTACAGTACAATATAACCAAACCTGAGCATACTGTCAACTTGGGAGCATAACAAACCAACACAAAATACCGCATAACCAAACCCGAACAGTGAGCTTATCGTCAACTTGAGAGCATAACAAACCAACACAAAATACCGCATAACCAAACCCGAACAGTGAGCATATAGTCAACTTGGGAGCATATCAACACACAATGTCACCAAATACCGCCCAAGGTTGAATGATGAAAATATCGTCAAACTTCAGAAACAAACCTACCACCATCAATCACCACCAAGCTCAATACCCAAACAATGAGAAAACTGTATTGCAAAACTTCCTTAATAAACGTTTCGCCCAAATAATCACTAAAACAAAAAAAAATATATATATATCCGTAAAACTAATTGGTATTAACATTTCACCTTACATTTGGGTAATTGGTCTGTTCTTTGTTACTTTCTCATGAACTTGACTTTTCAGACATTTCTTCTTCTTTTTCTGAATTTCTATCTAACTGTAGGAAATATTTCACTTCTTCCTTCACTCACAAGTATGGTATTCAGTTTGAAGTGGCAAATACAAGTTGTTACGAGCCATAAATAATGTCACGGATAATAACTCCACGCGAGTCACTGAATAAGAGAGATTAAAAAAAAATCCTATTGGATTACACGGCCCAAAAACCAGTGACGACAGGTGGGATAATTTGTTTATTTGTCAGAATTATTTGTAAATATGATCTTGATCTTGATGTTATAATATTACTGCACTTCAACAACTAGGGTCTCTAAGCACGTAACAAGGTCAATAATTACACTAGTTCATCGACACTTCAAAAGTATTAAGAGAGAATTCACAATATAAAATCTTAAGAAACAGATGACAGTACTGGGAACCTGGTCATCAATATAATTTATGACATGGACAGATTTCCTTGATGTGCCAGGTCTCTTTTTGTATTAAATTTACATTCATTTTTATGAACTAGTTTGCCATGTTTCTGGATGGGAATTCACAGAGCAAAAAAAAAATTTATAAAGGTCTTTACATCAAAACAGAGTCAATTAAATATCTATAAATTAATGTTTTTGAAGTTACAGTTGTTTCATCTTGTCCATATGAGATCTGTTTGGAATATTTCCCTACAGTACAAACAACCAGTACCTGTATGTCATTCTTGTACAAAATAGACAAATTTAATTAACCCCTTGTGCCTCCTCTGAACTAAATAAAGCCGTCTGGAGTTGGCGTCCCCGTAGTGATGGGGTTAATAAAGAGATAGCCTTAACAATGTTGTCCCCTAATATATACCTATCTGTAAATACTTGTATTGCCACAAAAACATTGACACCTATAATACCAGTATTGTCAGTTGTAAAGAGATGAGAAGTCAGTTGAGCACATAGTTACTCTCACGGGCTGCCTCTGTACCCGTTTGCTCTGCGCGACGATCCTTCTGTCGGTGAATGCTTGGCGGCTGCTCGGATGAACGGAAGCGCCGCCACAATGAGGATGAGAAGAGCGAGTCCTGGTCGATAGATGGCCCAAGCACCTCCGATAATAATCAGCGAAGTGGACATGCTCAGGGTGAGATTAGCTGATCCTAATCCAAGGGCAACTACATCTCTCATGAGTGGAGAACATCCCACTGAGGAGAAAAACAAGACAAAAATTAAGGTGAAACTAAGATACAGTGACCCCACAAGAGTCTCTACTCCTGAACCACAAACCCTGAAATTCAGACCCGTGAATCCGAACCATTTACAGACAGAATAATGCATGTGTCTAATGCTTTGGTTTTATGGAACAGCAGGGGAGGCAACAAGACTTTTATGGATAACTGCACAATCAGTATTACTCTTGGTATAAATTTGAACTCCATTAAAAATACAATCAATTTACAAGTTAATATGTAAAGTAATAGATGTGAAGTATAATTAAATAATATATATGGTCCAGGTATCAGTGTGTGTACTGTGTGAAAAAAAGTTGAGATTATAAGCAAGTATTTGGAGGTATTTCTACTTATTTTTCTAGCTCTCTCCTATCACATTCTACACAAGTCTACCACCACATCACATTCTCACTCAACCTAACCCAACCTAACCAAATCTAATCTACCTTCACTCTCTACCATTGTTTCTGTTACCAATTTGTTACATCTAGGTAATGCTAAAATTCTTTCTTACTCGATCCATCTATAAAGTGAAGGACATATTCCCCACCATCAGATCCTCACATGTAGAATCTTCCAATAACTACTTCACCCCGGGTCATACTACACCGCCGTACTCACCAAGTGAATTAACAATATTTGAGACACACGCCAGGCCGATGAACATGAGGAACCAGCCACCCAAACGTAGGCTCCAAGTCAGGAAGCGGTTCTGTGCGTGCTCCGAGGAAAACATCTCCTCCACCGTACGCTTGCCCACGTGTACAATGAGCAACTCTCTCCCGTTACTGGTCAGGTATGGGTGAAGTGTCTCCCCTATCTGCTGTCCAATAATGCTCACCTAAAAAAAAAAATAAAAGGTTTTGTATAACTATAATTTCAATGTCACATTCAGTCAGGACTTTGGGCGGCTCAAGTACAGGATCATCCCAAAATATATAAGTCATTCATCAAAGGTGCACTCTGTCCACTCTTTTCTGGTCACCTTACATCTATCCTCTTTTATACATGCACACAAGCACATTTTTTACAATATAACACAGATTATTTTCACATATATACAATAAAGACACTTCATATGTGCACCAAAGGCAGTTCAGATATATACAGGTATCCCTCCTTTAATGATCACTCACCTTATTATTTTTTTCAATGTAGTGATGTAAAATTTTTAGCAACCTTTCTCAATTAACGATCATCAATTTTTTGGTTTAGCGATATTCGACTCACTGGCAAAATTCTGGAGGGAAGTGGGAAAAACTGGGGATTCTGTGCTCCAAGTGTGTATCATGACAATACAGTACTCTAATGTGGTGAAGAAATACTGTAAAGAAAATATAATATAAAACTGTTAAATAAAAAAAATGAAGAGCATGTGTGTGTGTGTGTGTGTGGGAAGTGAAAGTATGTATTGAGGCAGTGAGTTGTTACTGTGGCCAGCAGCACTCTCCTCTCCCCTCCCCCCCTATGTGATGTCACAGCAAACAGGCAGCAGGCACATGCATCTCTTGAGTCAGCTTGGTAACTGCCCAGCTGAACTGTGTAGCATATATACTGTACCAGTAAATGTGAGGAAAAAATAAATAAAATAAAAAATATTTCATTGCTATCTGGTTAATCATTTCACTCCACATGTAACCAAACATCACAGGTGACCAGGTCCCCAGTTTCCCCCTGTACTGAAGAGACCAACAGCCCAAACGGCTAGTAAACTGATAAGTGGTGAAATGATAAAGAACTAACAAGACATAATTGAGGACATTTTCTCTGAATATCTGCCATGGTAATGATGATTTATATTGCAAATATACTAGACTGTACTGTAGGTAGATATTGAAAGCATAATGTGTTGTCTAATGGTAGACCCTGCTGCCATATGTGACCTAAGTCCCAGGTTGATGATCGGACTTTCTGCCTCATTTACACACAATTGCAGGGTTTCAATTGTTTCTCTTACTTTGACAACACAACATACATACAGTACTGTATATCAATCTTCACTGTATTGATCTTTTTATTATTATTATTATTATTATTATTATTATTATTATTATTATTATTATATTTATTTATAAAAAATTAAAAAAAATTTATTCATTTTTATTAATTATTATTATTATTACACTAATATTTCTGTTAGCCGGAATCCCTCAAACCCAGAACTCTCCCATAGCCGAAATTGAAATTAGCTCGGAAAAGCATTCCCCCCAAAATTCTGGCTTTGGGAACAAATTTTTCGAGGTTAAAAAATTGAGAGCATATTCAGAATATGACTTGAATAAAGACGAAAGCTCAAGTATTTTGGGGACCAGACCTGACACAATGTCAGGTGGAGGTAGGGTGGGGGATTAGTGGTCTCATATTACTGACTTTCTGATGGAATGTCAGGTCACCTTTCTTGGGTGGGGATTAGTGGGTCTCATGACCTGAAGATGTCTTGAATAAACACGAAACCTAAAGTATTTTTAGAGAGATTGTGATAAGTATAAGTATAAATGAGCAAAGTTGTATCCCTTCAACATTACATTACATAACATTTTAAAATATGGAGTGAGAAAACAGAAAGGTGTGGGTGATTAGAGAGATGGATGCTTGTTGTCTTAAGTCCCGTGTGTGTGTGTGTGTGTGTGACTGCCAAGACACTTACACACATTAACAGCACTACTAAACCATCGTCTTATAACAGTTTGCATTATAATCTATATTTTAAAATAAATTGATACATGATGGCTGAACAGGGCTACTTTTGCACTTAGACAACTGATCAATGAATAAACTAGGGCATATGGAGACTCATTATACATTAGTCATGTCACAAAGCTTTGAAACTGCAACCACATAAATTATCACAACCTGGACTTAAATGAACTGTATTAAGCTCATTACTAAAATTATTATGTATGGTGCAAAATAATGGATGTTTATACTCAAATTAATCACTATCTTACAAGAATTTTAGCAATGCAAGTTATATTCTCCTAAGTCAAATCAGTAACATTTTATAAGTAAAACAATAAAACCCCTCAGCAACAACCCACCTCCCCCCCAGCCAGAGGGAGAAGGGTCATATGGGGGGTAAAAGTGACCACGACCCCCCCCCTCCACCCAAACAACTAATTCACCATCATAATAATAATTAACAGTTTGAGAAAGTTCTGCAGCCCAAAGGGTGAAAATATACATTAGACAAAAATTACTTATTGCATACAAAGACATGAGGTGGGTGGGACAAAAGCTTTCATTACTGAAAGGAGAAGGAACATAAATTGAACATACAAATTATTATAGTTTGCAGCTGATGGCGCGGGCTGGTCTCTTGCCATACTGTGTGAGGTCACATAGGCCACGTGGTGCAGTAACTCGTCCGTAGGTGTTGATATGAAGGACCTCACGTGGTCATGGGGACACCGTATGGGGTGGTGTCACAGTGCCTCACTCTGCTGGGTGGTGTTGTGTTATCTCAGTTAGGTGTGAAGCCGACCCAATGTTGGTGGAGTGATTAGCATCACCTGGTCAGAAGATGGCAGTCAGTTCCCAGGGGTGCTTATCTCAGTGGTGGGTCACAGCTCTCACTGGTACTGTCTAGTGCTGAATTCACTGGCTTAAACACTGTTCATAATTGTTCAACACTGATCCCACTTCTTTCCGAAAACAAAATTGTCACTTTTGATTATGTAGATATCCCGGTGGTGAGGATGGGTTGGGGAGAGGGACTTGGGGAATAGGGCCAAACATGGCCAAGGGGGGCCGCTCCTCAGCAGCGCCTGATAGGTCTTGACCCTCCGGTGGTCAGGGATGTATGCATGTGTGTGTGTGTGTGTGTGGAGTATATATATTATATATGTTTCCGTGAGTGAATACGTACATATGTTAACCTCGCGCAGTCTCACTTTTTTTCTCTACCGATTCAATTACATAACATTAATTAAAAGATACATACAGTAATTTTTACATTAATTTTACTACTGTACATCTACAACCATCGTTAGTCGAGGCTTTAATATACATAAAATTGATACAATGAGCTCTAATACCCACTCATTTCATCCCAAATACTATTGGATCACTACTTTGTAAAAATCCCTAAATGGCAACTGTAAGCTGATGGGAATCAGTCCTGTCCATATGGGAGGAGATACTGACTGCACCCTGCCCCCCTCGCCAAGAGATCACTACACGTACGTGTATAGTTCATGAAACACAAGTCAATACGGTATAAAATTAAGAGATTTTCAGGGATTTTTTTCAATATACGTACGTATACAGTATTTATGAAAAGAATACAAATAAAAATAATGATGGACCATCCAACTTTTAGTAATTTATAAATCTACTAATTTCTAATTTCCATTCATTTTCAATAATGAATTTTATATATTTCAAGAAAAGGGCCCGAGCTATTAATACCAATACAGTACAACGTTACACACCTCCAACATTTATTATATTATATATTCTCGTATGATCAGCCACTTATGGTGTATGTTTTGTCATTGATAATATAAAATATTAAAAACTGTGCTATAACACCTTGATAAAATCACACAGGAAAGGAGGAAACAATGGAGCACCTTAGCTTTCGTCTTTATTCAAGACATCTTCAGAGGCAACTGAATTACAAGGACCGAGACTGAGAGAGGCTTATGTACACAAAACAGAGGTCAAACACATGACATCTACTAATCCACACACCACCACCATCGCAACCATAAAAGGAGCTTAAAAGAGAGGGCGACATAACTAGTAATGTCAAGTCAGGTCAAAAACATGAGACCCACTAATCATCTATCCTACATCTAACTCGAATGCTTTCAAAGTATTTTTAACCTTGGGCCACTGACAAATAAATTTGTGTAACATATTATCAGTTTTGTACTGACCATCACTAAGGTTTATAGAATTCATTTCCCTAATCAAACTTGCTTCAACCAGAATTCTTTCTGTGACACATAATGATTTATACACTTCTAAACTTTTTTCCCAATCTATGAGATGATTATTATTCCTTATATGAACTGTGCTGTGACATGACAAAATATTGTGTCATGTTCCAGGGTCCTCTTGTGTTGGAGGGAGGGAAGGAGGGAACTGACCTCACATCCCCCCAGAAGGTTCCTGCCTCTCCCCTACTCCCCGTGCTTGCCATTCCCATTGTTAAATGTTTTAATTTTTTTATATTAATTAATAAAGATATGTTTACTGTAATAATTTGTGCTTAACATGTTTAATATTTTATATTAACCAAGATAAAACATAGACCATAAGAGGCTCATCATTGGTGAAAAGGGGAGTGCCAGCCTCCTTGCCTTCCTGCCTCTGTCCAACTCAGTCTCACACAAAAACTCTCTCTCTCTCTGTGTGTGTGTGTGTGTGTGTGTGTGTGTGTGTGTGTGTGTGTGTGTGTGTGTGTGTGTGTGTGTGTGTGTGTGTGTGTGTGTGTGTGTGTGTGTGTGTGTGTGTGTGTGTGTGTGTGTGTGTGTGTGTGTGTGTGTGTGTGTGTGTGTGTGTGTGTGTGTGTGTGTGTGTGTGTGTGTGTGTGTGTGTGTGTGTGTGTGTGTGTGTGTGTGTGTGTGTGTGTGTGTGTGTGTGTGTGTGTGTGTGTGTGTGTGTGTGTGTGTGTGTGTGTGTGTGTGTGTGTGTGTGTGTGTGTGTGTGTGTGTGTGTGTGTGTGTGTGTGTGTGTGTGTGTGTGTGTGTGTGTGTGTGTGTGTGTGTGTGTGTGTGTGTGTGTGTGTGTGTGTGTGTGTGTGTGTGTGTGTGTGTGTGTGTGTGTGTGTGTGTGTGTGTGTGTGTGTGTGTGTGTGTGTGTGTGTGTGTGTGTGTGTGTGTGTGTGTGTGTGTGTGTGTGTGTGTGTGTGTGTGTGTGTGTGTGTGTGTGTGTGTGTGTGTGTGTGTGTGTGTGTGTGTGTGTGTGTAGGTTAATGAACAAATAAACAGATAGAAGACAGTACAGTAGTTTGATGAATAGTAGTGACAATTGTAGTACGCTGCTATTCATCAAACGACTGTCATTGACGATACAATATTGCTTATATATTAATTAATACCACAACATCACACCCAGACACCCCCATATTGTATGACATTGTATGTGATAACTGTAAGTATAAAAAATACTGTATTTTAGCTTTCATGTTTATTCAAGACATCTTCAGGTCTTCAGACCCACTAATCCCCCACCCGACAATGACATTGTATCAGAAGGTCAGTAACATCAGATCACTAATACCCCACCCTACCTCCAACTGACATTGTGTCAGGTCAGGTCAGTTACACGACACCCACTAATCCCCAGAGCTTCAAGGGAGTGGAAAATACCAGTCCTTGATGTAACACACAGCTTCATTCACGACCATATCATATACAGCTAGACCCCGACTTACAACTGCTTGGACTTACGACCATCGGGACTTACGACCGCCGCAGTTGTGACCTTTTTTTTTTTTCCAATTGACACACGCATTTTCTATACCGAAACGTTTCCAGTTAATGTAGTCTCCATGTATAATTAGAAAATTATGGGGGCCCCATGTGCATTCAGCTGACTACATTAAAGGTAAGTGCTCAGTCACACTGTATCCATTCCTCATTATTTATTACTTTCACTGTACTGTATCCATTCCTCATTATTTATTACTTTTACTGTACTGTATTTCATTGTAGATTTTTTATTAAATTTTTTTTTTTTTTATCTATGTCGGACTTACGACCTGGATTTGGGTCCCTAACCCCATCGTAAGTCGGGGTCTAGCTGTATATTTTTAGTTTAGACTCTTGGAAAACTACCCAGCACACAGAAGCATTCTGAGGATGTGGGCTAGTGTTTGTCTGTGAAAAAATGCATAGCTTAGACACTCGGAAAGTTTGTCCCAGTAACCGGAAATATTTCCGGGGATGGGGGATTTTTCCAGGTTTGAGAAAGTCGTTCGGTTAGCCTGAACTCTCTCATCCGCGGAAGTGCTCTGCACCAATTGTTCCGGCTAACGGGGATATCACTGTATTACAGTAAAAGTCCAAAAATCCGCACCACCCGAGAATCCGGACTTTTCGAATTTTTTTTTTTTTTTTTAATAATTGAGCTGCCTTTTGTGTGTATGTGTGCATGCATGAGCGCCACAGCTGCACAGCGACAACAAGCGACCACGCGGTCGCCACTTTAAAAAAAGCAATCAAACTGTGAAAACGTATGTAATTTTGAATCCTACTCTTTCCATTTACAGAGTACTGTACAAGCTCATAATAATGGCTCCTAAAGTAGATAAACTTCGTTGTGTGAAGAGAAAGAAGAACACATTGAAATATAGTGACAAACTTGAAATAATTAAGAAACTAGAACGTGGTGTGAGCAATACTGTTCTAATGGAAACATACGACATTGGAAGGTCTACAATTTATGATATAAAAAAGGCAAAGAATAAAATTCTAGAATTCACAGCTTTTTCTTTAAAACGGCTCGTTTTGATAAATGAAGCATGCTATATTTGCTAATGAATAAACTATCAAAATGTACCTGTTCATCTCTTCTTTATTCCTCCTAATAGGGGGGGAAGGGTGTCCGTTTTAGCCGATTGTCCGAATTAACCGATTTAGGGGTTAATATTGCATTATACAGCTATGTGTATGTTTATTTGAGTGCCCCGTCATAGGAGTCCGTTTTATCCTCACTTCAGCACTCCTGAGTCGTCCGTTTTCTCTTAATCTTAGAGTGCACCAGAGACTGTTGTATCTTAGTAGTGACACAGAATTTGATATTGCAACTGGGGTTGCAATTGTTGAGGCCACTTAGGTATGTCTGATTACAGTTGGAATATTCAAGATCCATTGTGAGTGATGTTTAAAGCTTCAACTGTCTTTATGGTTGGTAAAACTTGTCAAGTCTGTCAGTCTGAATGGCATGTGTGAGGCCTTGTGTTTGTACAACTGTTAAATATATAAATATATAATGTTATGATAAATATCAGAAGCACATAAGCATAACGAGGTTTATTACAAAGTGATGAAAAGGATACTGTACAGTGGCTAGTCCACAAAACATGTAGCCATGTCTCTTTATTTGAGTGCCCCGTCATAGGAGTCCGTTTTCTCTCACTTCAGCACGCCTGAGTCGTCCGTTTTCTCTTAATCTTAGAGTGCTCCAGGGACTTTGTTATTTCTTAGCAGTGACACAGAATTTGAAATTGCTTCCCCAATTGCAACTGGGACACTCCCAGAACCAGAAATTTGATATGGACAGTTCAGATTTCGTCCGATTTATCCGAAATCCGGATTAAAGGGGTCCGAATAAACGAGGGTCGACTGTACTGCCTGAGAATCCGGAAAATACGAAAATCAGGACCGACCCAATCCCCAAGCAGTCCGGATTTTTGGACTTCTACTGTATTATTATTATTATTATTAATATATTTTCGTCCACAGGCCCTCATGTGGGTCATGGAACTGTTCCCTAGTGGGCTAATCCTGTATAAAAAAATAATAAATAAATAAAAAAAAAAGTGGGGAAGACCTATGGGACTTAGGACCCTGTCTTATGATCTTCTTCACCTCTCAGATTGCTAGCCATTCCTCAGCCTCCCACAACCATTTAGTGCTGGTCATGCACAGAACCTTCAATGTGTAGTTGTTCCAGTTTTGTCAGACCTGAAAGGGTTCACACTTGGTTAAATTATTAAACATTCTTCACATGAAGCGACTGACTCACCACTTCACCAGCACGTCCTGCAAAGTAAAACTGGATCCTCAAATCCCCGATGTCAGGGTTGTAGATGTCTCGCGTTATGTAGTACATCCCCCCGTGCAGCTTGATGTCATCCCCTTCTGGCTGTTCATCACCAGAGAATGAGACGAACTCAGTGAACCTTTCCTTGATTGCAGGACTCATATAGTAAGCACCCAGCTTGCCAGTCTCTGCAACCTGAATTATCGGTGGTACTGGAATAGACCTTAAAAGAAAGAGGAACTTCATTAATAACTTAAACTTCACACTGTCTCTCCTCATTTTATCTATATTATGAACACCACTTCCCACATTTAGGGAGGCCAGAGCCTGCAGTTATTGACCACCTGTACCTGCAGATGTCAAAATTTGAATATCAAAATCTATAATTTGCTGAATAATTCAATTTTATGATTTATGCACATGCACTATGTGAAAGAGAAATAATTATCAACCAATCTCAACCAATTTTCAGAAAAATCCAAGAAATACTAATGATATATCTCTTAAGTATGGTATGTTGTTGTTGTGAGGAACACCAAAGTAGAACAACATCTACAATGACTTCTCACTCTGGCAGCCTTGTGCCACAGTAAATAAGGACTCACAAGAGTGGGAAATATCAATATAATATACCATGATTTATCACACAACCTTGTGTATTTTGTTTGGTTCTTATCTTACTGATGATAAATTTGTAAAAAAAAATGAATCACCTGAAGATTAACCCTCAGCTTATTTCACATGGGTAGGCAGGTAGTGTTTGATTACTGGCACCTCAGGGAGTTGTTGAGCCTATAGGTTGGAGTTCAGAAGGGCATCCTGCCATAAAACTTTGCTTCAACACGTATGATGGTAAGGTTCCCATCAGGTAATCACGGCTAAATCACGCAACCGCAGAAAATGACCACTAAATAATGATGATGATGATGATGATTAAACTCCCTAATGCTACCTGGGTCAGGGGCTGTTAGGCTAGGTTAACATTACGGCGGTAATTCTTAAGATGAAATAAGCTGGGAGGGTTCATCTTCATGTGATTGCAAAATTTAGATGTGAATGGTTCATAATGTTGATGTGAAGCCTAAATCTATCAGAAGTTGTTATCATGCATTAAAAACTACAAGCATATTCAATAGTTTGAGTCACTGAGACTGTGGCTGCCTCCTCCTCCTGCTCTGACTGGGGTTCCTCCGCTGCCACTGCTTGCTCCTCCTCCGTTGTTGTTTGCTCCTCCTCGGGTGCCGGCTGTTGTGAAGAAGCTGTTTCTGCCGTCCCGCGAAGAAAAAATTAATCCGTGTTGACTGCTTGGTGCTACTCTTCTTCTCCTTATAGATCTCGGTGTAGCAATCAAGACTGTCCTCAATGCTGCGTTGAACCTTTGAGCTACATTCTCTGTTTGGGTCGTCATCTATAAGGATTTGCATTGCTTGCTGGAACAAGTTGAACAATTCTGCTATCCTCTTGGAAGTTAGCATTCGTTGAGGTTTTTCTTCTTCACCGTTGTAAGGGCTGTAACGAGCAGGGCGGTTGTCCGCCACTCGTTTGCTTGTTCGCGGCCCCCACTTAGGGGGGGGGGGGTAGACGGAGGTGAGAAGGTCGCTGCTGCTTCGTCACACATCAGACACTACCCAGCCAGCACCACGGCTGCACTTCCCCTGCTGTTCGATTACAATTCTGGTTGTGTACTCATCTGACGCTCCTGGGGCTTGTAGGCTGATTCCCCAGTCCTTCACTATTCGGCTATCAATCTCCGGACACCTGCTCCAGCTACTACCGCGGCTGCCACGTCATCGGCACTTCCTCCACGCCCTATCCACCGTCTGTGCCCTGGCGTCTCTCCTGTGTGGCAAGACATTGCCCACCAACGGCGGCGCCAAGTGAGGAAGCTGCCCTGGATCTTTCCTCGAGAGCGGACCACCGCATCAACGGAACATTCCACCGGGCTACCTCCGTAGGAAATATCCATTAATTGTTTGGCGCCCGTAATTGTTTACAGTAAAACCTCGATTAACCGACTTTCAGATTAACAGTCAATCCTGAACCCCTTAAAAAAAGAAAAAAAAAAAAAAAAATTACGGGGATTAGCCCACCCGGGCACAGGTCACTGACCCACATCGGAGCCTGGGGGGCGATAATGTAATAATATTAACCTCTTCCCCGGCAGAAACGTGTATACACGTTTTCACAAAATGTTCTTTTTTCAGTCGTCGACGAGTATACTCGTCTAAAACTTTACCTTCAAAAACCAGCTACATACGTATATACTCGTCGATTTTAAGCCTTTGTAAGCCATTCTACGTGTGAAACGAGTATTCTCGTCAAATCGTACGCCTGGCAGAGGCGATAGGGTAGAGCTGTGGGATTTCAAGGACATTGTTACTAGACTTGCTCCGACAGCCATTGTCGTCGGATGGGTGTTGTTTGCATCCACATTTGCATTCATTTTTTTGTAGCATTTTCAAGTGTTACACCCCAAATGTCTAGTTCAACGGAAGATAGTGAATATGAACCTTCCCTCAGAAGCTTGAATACTTCTGATAACTCTGCCAGTTCATCAGACAATGACTATTTCTCGACAAGTGAGGAGGAGGAGGAGGAGGGTGAGGGGAGAGCTTGGAGAAGCCTCGAGTTGTCAGAGGAGCGTATGAATACACCACCACCACGTTTTCCTTTCACAGGAAATCCTGGAATAAAGATTGATGAAAACCCAGCAGAACTGAGTCCATTTGAATTCTTCAGTCTTTTTATTGATAAAAGGATTATTGACTCTGTACTGGTAGAGACTAATCGTTTTGCTGAACAAACTGGGCAAGATGATTCTTTGTGGCGCCCTGTAACAGAGGCTGAACTTTTTGTATTTTTTGCCATGAAAATGCTTGGGGGTATTGTGAAAATGCCAGAAGAAGAAATGAACTGGTCACATGATGAACTGCTTGAAAGACCAATTTTTCGGCAGCTAATGACTATGAAATGGTACAGTAAGATAAAGCAATATCTTCATTTTGTAGATAATGAAACTCATGATGCACAAACTCACCCCAACCCAAAATTGTATAAGATTTATGATGTATTCATGACATTGTGTGAGAACTTTGGGAAGTGTTACACCCCTAGGCAAGATGTATGTATAGATGAGAGCCTTATGTTGTTCAAAGGAAGGTTAGGATGGGTACAGTACATTCCACTGAAAATTAAAAATAAAATAGGTTTTCATTTCTCTTTACATTTGGTAATAAAATTTTGAGAAAAATTAAGAAAATATGGTAAAAAAATATGGTTTATAGGAAGACGAGTTGACTCGTTTTTGCCGACAAAGGTATTTTCAAAATAAAAAGTTAACCACAAAAATGGGAAGAAAAAATAATTAAAAACTGTTTTCATAACCAGCATCAAAAATACTATATAGAACCAAAATAAAAAAATTAGTCTGAAAAAGAAACGTTTTTAACAAAAAAATTGTTGGGGAAGGGGTTAATAATGATAATGCTAATAATAATAATAATAATAAAGAACCATAAAGAAATGCAAAAATGAAAAAAAAATCAAGAGTGAGAAACAATGTATGTATATATGTTGTGTTGTCAATAGTAAGAGAAACAATTGAGACCCTGCAATTGTGTGTAAATGAGGCAGAAAGTCAGATCAGCAACCTGGGACTTGGTCACAATTTTTGTGATGACACACGTTCTTTGACTTTTCCATTTTTTATTCATGGTTTCTGTGCTGGTTCATATTTATTTACTAAAGTGGTTTATGTTTTAAAGCAAATTCTATTGAAATATGAATGGCAAATGAACAAAAATGAATAGAGGGACTTAAATGAGGTAGGTTAGGGAAAGGTACTTTGAAAATGTGTGTTTTATTTCCGTAGACTTTATGTACTATTAACCGACCTTTTCGATTATCCGTCGGCCCCTTCCCCCCATATGTGGTCGGTTAATCGAGGTTTTACTGTATTTAATATTTGTGTGCGTGGTGTCAATTATTGTGTTTATTTTCGTAGTAAAGAGATGTCAATCTCTAACGGTTGTTTGTTACCCCTTGGAAACCCATGGTTCTTGACTTTCCTTTTATAAGATCCTGATTAGGCTGGCAAGGGATTTATATCCCAAAGTTCCAGGCCTTTTACAGCCGTCGTCGTCTTCAATGAGACTGTGTTCTGTTAGTTGTTGGTGAGCTCTTCTGTATGGGATGCCAGGACGTCCTCAATATCCTCTGATTCCAGCTCATCAAAGCCTGCCTGTCTAGCCAAACTGAAGATATCCCTATTCACAGCTGGGACTAAGTCCGTGAATCCCATAAAACTGTTGATGCACTCGGGCCACAGTTTACGCCACACACCATTCAAGCAACTTCCTGAAACCTCTTACCATGCTTTGCCAATGTTGTCAATTGCATGAAAAATGTTAAAAGCCGCGCCAATATTCTCGGACTATTGGTTTATTTTCTTCGTCCGTAGCCTTGAGCAGCTGGGCCATGGTACAGCGTAAATAATATGCCTTGAATGTGGCAATGTCGCGTTGGTCCATAGGCTGCATCAGTACTGTCATGTTGGGACGATGACCTGGAGCACCATCAAGGATCAGAAGAATTTTGAAGTCAAGGTTCTCCTTGGCACAGTATTCCTTCAGTGCAGGGACGGAGTACACATTCAACCACTGGCTAAATATGGAGACGGTTATCCAGGCCTTCTTATTTGCCTTGTAGATCACAGGAAGGTGATCCTTAGAGTAACCTTTCAGGGCCCGTGGGTTAGCAGCGCGAAAAATCAGCATAGGCTTCAACTTGAAGTCACCGGCAGCATTCGAGCCAAGCAGCAGCGTCAAGAGGTCTTTTGCCGCTTTAAATCCTGGCGCTCTCTTCTCCTCGGAGATATAGGTCCTCTCAGGCATCCTCTTCCAAAAAAGACCAGTCTCATCCACAGTGAAGACTTGCTTCGATGAGTAGCCTCATTCCTGGATAACCCGTTTGAATTCTGGCGGGAACGTCTCGGCAGCAACCATATCTGAACTGGCAGCTTCACCAGTCATCTTTATGTTGTGGAAGTTAAACAGACGCTTAAATTGTTGAAACCAGCCTCGGCTGGCCGTAAAGGTCTCTTCCTTCGATCCTTCACCCTCTGTTTCCTTCATGTCGTCAAACAAGGATGCTGGATAACCATAAGGCTCACAGGGGCACTGCATTGATTCTGGTCCTCCATCCACTTTGCCAGCATCTTTTCCACCTTCTCTATCACAGTGCTTCTAGTACGAGTTGTCTTAGTAGCACTCAGAAAAGAACCACTTCAGCACTAACCTTAATCTTGTCAGCGTTGGTCCGGATAGTACGCACAGTTGTGGGGGTTAGACCAATCACAGCGGCTATGTCCACAGCACGTTCCTCTTTTTCAAAACGGGCTAATACATCCATTTTCGTAGCAAGGGTAATGGTCTTACATTGCCTCTTCACTACACTAGCATCAGTAGCACTTGATGTGCGCTTGGAAGCCATTTTGAAAGGTTAGAATACAGTTTTAGAGCAAAGGCACTTAAGCACACACGAATGTGGTTGTAAAACTTAGTCCATGATGACGCAAAACGACGTTGTATCGAATCACCTTTTAGCGGGACAACGTTAAGAGCGGACTTACTGTAACTCTATAGCCAACTCTCCCCCTGATAAAACGAATCTCTTTGGCACCTTATTCTCCTCTAACTCCACCTTAGACGATTCCAACTCTACCCCTCCTACTCCTACTCCTCCTACTGAACTTATGCACTTTCTTACAATCTCCACTCGTAGGGTTGCTGGATGTGAGTAAGGCGCATGTACCGGACGGAATACCCTCTCCTGTTCTGAAGTTTTGGCCCGTGTGCTTGCTTGCCTCTTTCGCCTTTACCTTGTAACAGCACCTTTGCATTATATAAATATTCACCCAAATGAATAACACTTAAGTTATTCACCATGTTATTCACAACTATAGATACTTGGCTTGCATCTCCCTCAAAGGTCGTGCCAGGTTCAGCTGATTCAGTAAACACTGTCCGCTCGCTACCACACTCACTCACGGCCCAGAGAGGAGCAGTCCACTCCATCTCTCTAGACAGGGAAATTCTTGCTTAACTTAAGAGTTATCTCAATGTGTTATTCACAACACTTCCCTGGAGAGCATTCATAATTTATTCTCTCAGATTATATGTGTCAGCTATAAACAGATAAAGCCAAGAAGTGTTTACAACAAGTCCTGCTACTTAAAAGTTCGAGAACTTAATTAAAACCGCAATCACAGCCTCAATACCCAAACTTTTCCTACCGTCTGGGAAGCATGCCTTGGTTCAGCCCATCCAGAAGAAGGGAAACCATTCTAATCCCTCTTAACTATCGCACCATTGCCCTAACTTCATCCCTCTCTAAGACTTTCGAAATTATCTTAAACTTTCATTTTCTCCGTCACCTTAAACGCCATTCTCTTCTGTCGGATCACCCAGTATGGCTTTCGCCAGGCGAGATCTACTGGTGATCTGCTCTCCTAATGCACCCATCTTTGGTCATCCTCTCATAGGGATTATGGGGAAACTTTCATTGTGTCCCTCAACATCTCCAAAAGCATTTAACAGGCATGGCACAAGTCTTTGCTTTCTAAACTTCCCTCTTATGGTTTCTCTCCCCCACTTTGTTCTCTAATTTCTAGCTTACTTGAGAACCGATCCATGGCAGTTGTTGTCGAGGGATCGATCTCTCACTATCTGTTCTTTACCAATAGTGGCGTCCCACTGGGTTCTGTTCTTTCACCAACTCTCTTCCTTCAATTTATCAATGATTTACTTCACACTACAACTAATTCTATCCATTCTTTCACTGATGATCCTATTCTTCACTCTTCTCATTTTTCCCTTCCCCCTAATTCTTAAACTACATCTGTTTCTAGAGCCGATATCGTTTCATCTACCAATGCGGACCTGTGCAGTATCTTTAAATGGGGAGGTAGAAATTTGGTTAAATTTAATAGTAATAAAACTAAGTATTTACCAATTACACTTTCTAAATTAGATGATCTCCCACCAATTACATTTCAGAACACAATCATTTTACCAACTTCTAAAACAGATATGCTAGGCCTCACCATCTACTCTAATACGTCTTGAAAGCCACACATTCACAACATTGCTAAAGCTGCCTTCCGAAAGCTGCGAATGCTGTACATATGTCGTAGCTACTTCACTCGTGAGCAGTTGCTTCAAGTATACAAGGGATTCATTTGTCCTAACTTGTAGTACTGCTCTCATATCTGGGGTGGCTCTTCTTCTGTTCAACTGTTAGATAGGGTGGAATCAAAGCATTTCGTCTTATTAACTCTCCTCCTTTAATTGACAATCATTCTTCCCTTTCTCTTCACTGCATTGTTGCTTCACTCTTTAACAGGCAATGTTCGGTGGATTTGGAATCCTGTGTACCGCCGGCAAGGCCGTGGGCTAGTAACACTCGTCTTGCCCGCGGTACCCACCGTTTCTCTGTGGATGTCGGTCACACTAGAGTAACCCATTATAGAACATCCCTCTTTCCTCACAAGCCAAACTGTGGAATGCTCTGCCTTCTTGTGTTTCCATACCCATACAATCTGTCTCACTTCAAAAAGCTGGTTTTCTGGCATCTTCGTGGTGTAGATTAACACGGTCTTTTTCTCCTCTAATTCCCCCAACAGGCCCAGTTGTGCACTGCTATTTCTACAAATCTATATTTCTGTACCTTTCGGTAACCTTTTTTGTAGTTCACTGGCGAATTAGACTTAAATACCTTGTGAATTTCACTTGGAATACAGAATTATCCTTGACACGTTCAACAACAGATGAGATGTGAGAAGTGCATTATCCAGTGTGACCCTATCAACCACTGTAAGTTTTCTCTGGGTTTTCCAGTTTTCTCCTGTGTTAACACTGGACAATGAAGGTCACACCAAAGAAAAAACCGACCGCCCAAAAGGTTACTATATAAGCTGTTAAGTGATGAAACGATAAATTAAATATACAATTAATATACGATAGACTCATTGGATAAAAGAATATTATGTTACTCACGTGGGATTACTATGACCCCACGGGATGTTGAAAGATGAGCTGTCAACCACTTTGTCCCTCCAGGCATATGAGTAGGAATAGGAAGTGTCTGTTGGCATGCCCGGGGTTTCTTCTGACCGTCTGAAATGAGAAATATTAAAAAAGTGGTCTCTCTCTTTCTCTCTCTCTGATATAAAAAATGATGCATGTTAACACTCTCAGGTCTTGGCCCCCTCCAATAATTTTAGTGGTTCAGGAGACCAAACACCTGGCCATGAGCAAAAGTGTACAGTCACCCAAATAAGTCCTGTCACAAACCACGAACCCCGAGATTCAGACTCGTGAACCCGAAGCAGTAGACACTGATACATTATTCTGTCCATAAATGCTTCGGATTCAAGAGTCTGAATCTCGGGGTTCGTGGTTTGCGACAGGACTTATTTGGGTGACTGTACATACTACTACACTTTTATCCACAGCATCTGTCCTAATTGTGGCAGAAAGATGAATTTGGTGCCATAATGATCCTAAATGAATTCTCTACACATTTGTTTTAATAAAATATTCTGAAAAAAATATATTTCAACATAAATAATTTTGAGAAGTAATTTTGTTACAATAAAACTTTTACACCATATGATGTTGAGTAAAAAAAACAGACCCCAGTTGAATTACAAAGACCAAATTGATGCCAAAAAATTGAAGAAATTTTAGATCTTACAATATTCAGACACAAAGCCAACAACAATGAAGGTAAATACAGTATAATAGAAGTGAATGAAAAATTATACATATCTAGTCCTTAAGAAAATAAAGACAACAAGACTGCTGATTGTCAAACAGGAGCGTGAATGAAAGAATTACCACAGCAATGAATACACGATAAAATAATTGATGGAACAACTGAAGATTAGACACCCCAGCATATTTCACCTTAATGATAACAGGAGGGGAGGTTAGGTTAGGTGAAGTTAAGCTATGTTAGGTTAGGTTAGATTAGGTTAAGCTAGGTTACATTAAATTAGGTTATGTTACATTAGACTACATTATGTTAGGTTAGGTTATGCTAAGTTACATTATATTAGGTTAAGTTAGCTTACATTATATTAGGTTAGGTTAAGTTACGTTTTGTTAGATTAGGTTGGGTTATGCTAGGTTACATTATATTAGGTTAGGTTAGATTAGATTAGGTTAGGTTAGGTTTGCATTGTATTTAATCATCAGGTAAAATAAACTGAGCTATACAAAGTCTTCAGGGGACCTAAAATAACACATAACTTTCAAACGACAAAACCAAAGTACAATCCTTAACACTCACATTGATGACTCCTCCTCGATCCACTGATACATTTGGACTCGTCGCTTTAGTCTGACAGCGTTGATCTCCACGCCATAAGTGTCGTCTGTCAGCACCGGCGAGGCTGAAATCGTCCCCCACACGTGAACCAGCTGATGGGGTGTGTCAAGAGTTAACTAGCTACCTCATATCCATCCTTCTTATAATAATAATAATAATAATAATAATAATAATAATAATTAATAGAAAGAAGATAATGCAGGTACAGGTTGACAATCCCTTATCCGAAATCCTTGGGGCCAGAGACACTTCGGAATTTTTCGGTTTTCAGAATGGCTTTTTTTTTCTTTTTTTTTTAAGCCTACCCGGGCACAAGTCACTGACCCACACTGGGGCCTGGATGACGAAAATATAATAAAAATTATAGTAATAATAACAGTTCATAGGTCTAGGTCGTGTTTCTCACTTTTGATCTTTTTCTCAATTCTTGTATTTCTTTATTATTATTATTATTTCATTATTACAGCATTAATATTATTATTATTAATTTTATTATTATATTTTTTTATTATTATTATTGTTATCATTATTATTTTATTTTGGTGTATTTTTTATTAAAATTTTTATTTACTATGAATAATTATTATAATTATTATTACTATTACATTTTCGCCCCCCAGGCCCCGATGTGGGTCAGTGATCTATGCCTGGGTGGGCTAATCCCTGTTTAAAAAAAAATAAAAATAAATAAATAAATAAATAAAATAACCCCCCCCCCCAAAAAAAAAACTTTCGGTTTTTTGAGCTTTTCGGTTTTTGGAATTTCGGACAAAGGGTTGTCAACCTGTATACAGTTCAGCATTTATAAAGACAATGTAGGTATACAGTTTAGCATTTATAAAGACAATGTTGGTATACAGTTCAGCATGTATAAAGACAATGTAGGTACAGTGAACCCTCACTTTACGCGGTCACTTGAACCCACGGAGGCCCGCGTAAAGTGAGAAACGCATAAAGTGAACAACATAACATATGGGATTAATTGAAATAGAGACCGGGCCGACCCCCAAACTCCACTTTTTCAGACACAATACGTACATTGTAGTAAAAATAACTTCTAAATTTTATGATGGTATGCACACACAATTAATAAGAGAAATATCAATAATATTTGGTTTTTTAACACTTACATTAGTAGAAAAGATGGCTGGGCACACGGGGATGGGGGGTTGGTTCCGAGGCAGAGGGCAGATTATTGGCCCTCACCTGTATCACTTGTATCAATTGTATCACTATCCACCACAAGAGGCTTGCGGGGCCTCTTTGTCAAACCCTCAAAGTCCATATCCTCACTTTCATTATCACTATCACTGACTTGGGCCGGCTGTGGTGGGTGGCGGGTGAAGAACTTGGTATTGCTTTCATGACTGGGCGACCTTGTGCGCACCCTGCTCGCGCCACTCTCCGCGTAAAAGGGTACACACACCGCGGAAAGTGAGCATTCCGTGTTCGGCAGGGTACCGCGTAAACGTGGAAACGAGTAAAGTGGGACCGCGTAAAGCAAGGGTTGACTGTATACAGTTTAGCATTTATAAAGACAATGTAGGTATACAGTTCAGCATGTATAAAGACAATGTAGGTATACAGTTCAGCATGTATAAAGACAATGTAGGTATACAGTTCAGCATGTATAAAGACAATGTAGGTATACAGTTCAGCATGTATAAAGACAATGTAGGTATACAGTTCAGCATGTATAAAGACAATGTAGGTATACAGTTCAGCATGTATAAAGACAATGTAGGTATACAGTTCAGCATGTATAAAGACAATGTAGGTATACAGTATATAGACAATTCAAGAATATAGTCACTTCACCTTGCACTCTAATGTTATGTAAGCTTGCTCTTGCCTTGAATCATATAAACCAGCCACCACCACCACGTTTGGCCTTCAAGTCAGCGTTCACGCTTTGTGCTTTTTCCTGAATCAAGGCTAAACTTAGAGGCGGACTCTGTTGATTTTGATCTTCCACCAATATCACTAAAAAAAATTCCATTTCAATTAACAATCCACTTCTTTGTTTTGTTATCTATTTCTTTCAAAATTGTTCCGATCGTTGACCGACTGAAGCCCAACACTTTACCAATGACTGAGGGTGTTTGGCCTTCTTCACAATGTTTTGTTACATCAACTTTCACTTCCATGTAATTGTGTACCATTTCTTGGATGCACTACTATCACTTGCATCAGGTTTGTGTTTGGGAGCCATGATGTGGGCAGAAAAAGAGAGTTAATAAGCTAAAAACAACAGTTTGCACTTGATCACACACATTAAGGCGGTGAGGGTGAAGCGTACTGATGCTCCCTCAAGGCACGTGGCCGGGTAACACATCACTCCCCACGCGCCGCTCCGCCCCCCCTCTACGCCACACAAACTAGTTCTCGTACGTAAACACTACGAACCAGTTGTACTTATGTCGGATTTTTTAAAGAATTTACCTTATGGGACCTCGTTCATATCGGTGGGCATTCCTAAGTCTGACGTTCATAAGACGGCGACCCCTGTGTACAGCAAGTATATAGACAATACAAGAATACAGTTCAGCATGTATAGAGAAAATACAGATAAACAACTCAGCATACATAGAGACAATGCAGGTACAGTGGTCCCTCGGTTAATGAGCACAATCCGTTCTAGAAGATTGCTCGTTAAACGAAAAAACTCGTTAACCGAAACCATTGTTTCAATGGGTTTTTGGGTACAGTAATTGGTTCCAGCTCACCGAAAATTGCCTAAATTCAACAAAAAAAGGTAGAAAAGTACACTTACTTTGAGGTGTGTATGTAAAAGGCTCCTGGATGATGATGATGATGGGAATTAGAATGAGGGTGGAGGATAAGGGAGAAGAGAAGGCATTGGGGTGGAAGAGAAGTCACCCCATGGCGCCATTTCACCCAAAAAAATTTTAGTTCTCTTGGTGTAATTCAAGATTATTTTCTTTAAATCAACACAACACTGCATTATATATTGTCAATATGTAAAATAAATTTCAAAATGACCAATAATTTGCTTGTAAACACAGAAAAAAAGCATTTAGTTGAAGAGTCTCAAGCAAGATGTTACCTCCACTGAAAAGACACAAAGACTGACGCCTGTATGGTGTGTTGAGAGGCTGGATGGCGTGCCACAAACTAGTGACCCAACCTTCAATTTGTTCAATAATTGTTAAACTGACAAAAAAATTTAATATTAAACTTTGAAAATTATTGAATAGCATAAACTTCTTGATATTTACTAAAAGGGTAAGGAATTTAAGCCCTAGAACCGATTACTGTAATGGCGGACTAATACTACAGCTGGTGGACCGCCAAATGCAAGCTAAAACATGTGGAAGTCGGCTCGTAAGAAACTCGTTAATCGAGGGATTGCTCGTTAACCGAAGTTAAGAAGCTTATGGAAGGTAACTCGTTAACCGAAATCTCGTTAACCGAGGCGCTCGTTAACCGAGGGACCACTGTACTGTATATACATTATTTTCTCGGTTTAACTAACTAATTGGAGCCACCCCTGCAGATATCCCCCAGCGGCTGGGGGATATCTGCAGGGGTGGTGCTGAAGAGAGTGCTGAACTATGTCTCCTGTGGGAGACTCTGCTAGCTGGGGAGGGAAGTCTCCCTCTGTGTTCTGTCTCTCCCTGTTTGTCTCTGGGAAGGAGCTGTCGGCCCCTTCCCTGTTGTAATAATAATCCTAATACCTCAAGGAAGGAGCTGCAGGCTCCTTATATTGGCGATCTAAAACCAGAAGATGTTGTCACTAATCTAGGTGTGTCTGGTCAGGTGACAGGTGTACTGACTGGGAGTAGCTTCTTGAGTAACACGGTCATGTCGCCGGGTTAAGCTAATGAAGCGGTGGTGAGAACTCCGGGTCAATGTGACCGTGGCCCCTCCTAATTAACACTAAACTGGTTAGATCTGGACGGCTGTGTTTGTCCAGGTGCGTGGTCATGTCGCCGGTCGGTAATGCTTCCTAATTTTTACCACCCGGGTGTGTCTGGCCAGGTGTAGTTTCTTGAGTAACACGGACATAAAGCCGGGTTAACTCCGGTACCTTGTGGCCGTGACCTTTCCTGGGTCAGGTCTTAATCTCATTGCAGGTGTCAACTTGCGTGGGTGTACACCTGCTCATCTACTTACTGCTATATGTGATGTTCTTCTCTGGGCTGTAAGCTATGGTCTGATAAACAATCATTACACGTTACATCAAGGGTATACTGTAGTTCAGCACGTACAGAAAGGCCTCAACTTACAGTGATTCAATTTACAACAATTCATATTCAAAATTCAGGTCAATTTAGGAACTGATCCAATTTACATCATTATTTTATTCATATTTACAACAAAAATCGAAGAGCAAAAAATAAACATTACATTTTCACATAAATAATAACTAATACAGTATACTGTACATTAAGGTGCCGGTACAAATATTAAACATTAAAAAAAGCCTTACGCACAGACATTTCCGAGCTGGTGACGTCACTAACATAAAGAGTCACTGTTTGGCGGGCTTTTCGTTTCTACGTGTCCGAACCGGATCAGGATAAAAACCGTCTCGGGTATTTTATGGCATTTTTTGTGCCCCTATTCAACATGAGCAACTGATGGTGTTGTTGGTTCAAAAGCTAAGAGAGAGAACTTGATGATTTAGGCACTTTATAATCATTTGGGTAAAAACTCAAGGCAACAACAATGGCTATGTTCTTATGTTTTCAGTTTTACCTCCATTGATGAGTAGAATTTTAGTTTTACATTCATAAACATTAATTAAAACATATACACAGTGTGCAGTAATAAGTGTTACTCTGCCCATTAATGAGGTCACTAGTCCTAAGGGGTTATTTAACTTAAGGTCGCTGCCACCTGACCCCCTTGGACAGTAGGTAGCTGGCTGAGCAAGCTAGGCACTGTGAGTTCGTGTTTTTCATTAATCAAATCGAGGGTTGAAGGAAGGGTGAAACACCAACCAAGACTTAACTTATTTATTTCCTAATACAAAATATTGCATTCAGTCACAATACAAAAATAGTTGACCTTCGTCAAAATAAGTTGTATTAAAGTAATTACACCACACACAAAATACACACCCTTC